CGAGCGGGCCCTCACCAAGGCCGAGGTGCTGGGCATCCACGAGGACTTCGTGCCGTCGCGGTCCGTCGTCGTCACCGTCGCCGTCGTCCTCGCGAGCGGCCTCTTCCAGCTCAACGACGACATCCAGGAGGTTATTCTGGAAGAGGTCTTTTGTTTTACGCCCATGATCTCGGGCCCCATCGTCGGCTTCATCCCCCTGCCGGAGTCGTCCGTGGGCAAGGGCGGCGGCATCTCCATGGCCGTCGGCCTGATCGTCATCGTCCTCGGCGGCCTCGCGATCTACTACCTTTTGACGGGGTGGGCCGCCCTCCGGGCCTACGTCGTCGACCGCGCGCAGGAGAAGCACCGCAAGAAGATCGCGAAGAAGCGCGCGAAGCAGGCCGCCGTCGCGCGGCAGCCGTCGGCGCGCCGCCTCCGGCGGCCCGACGCGCGCGCGGCGCCCGAGCGCGACCCCGACGCGCGCGCGGGGCCGCAGGACAGCGAGCACGCGGGCCCCTCGGACGGCCCAAACGACGAGGACCTCGCGCTGCTGCCGCGCGCCGCGGCCGTGCCCGTCGACGACGACGCCGTCCATCCCGTCGAGCGCAAGCTCGCGCAGGACGCCGCCGCGATGAAGCTCGCCGCCGACGCGTCCGACCGCGGCACGGCGACGCCCGACGAGGCCCCGGAGTCGGCCTTCGGCGCGCACCACGACGACGAGAACCCGGCGCCCCCGGGCGTCGTCATCAAGTTCGAGGACGACGGCGACGCCCAGAGCGACGCGTCGCCGCAGCCGCCCCGGGCCGACCACTTCAACGCCGAGGAGGACGACGCGCGCCTCGTCCTCATGAAGGCGCCGGACCCGTCCGCCAGCCTCTGAACAACCCCCCCCCTCCCTGCCCCCTTCCCCTGTGCTCCATCGACCATGTGCTCCCTCGACCCGTCGACAGCCCCCCCGCCTCGCCCCGTGCGTGCAGAACGCACCGTTCGTCTTCGATGTGGTAACAAGTGTGATGTGACTCGAAGCGGGGACGTGCGCTGGCAAGATGAAGGCGAACTTCGGCTTCAATCGCCGACTTGCCACAGAGACAATGAGTGCATAAAAGAGAGCGCATGGGTTGCTAGCTCATGGAGGCCTTCGCCGTATGCTGCCTCGGCGAGGGCGACGCCTGGTCGACGGTCGGCGCCGGCGACGTCGGCGCGCTGGCGCGGCGCGGGGCGGCGGCGCTGGGTGCGCTGGGCGTCGGGCCGAACCGGCTCGTGGCCTGCGCCGCCGAGTCGGGCCTGTGGCTGCCGCTGTGCTACCTGTCCTGCTGGGCCGCCGGGGGCGCCCTGGCGCCGCTCGACTTTGGTCCCGAGGGCCCCGGCGACGACGCGCTCGCGTCGGTCGTCGCGCGCCTCGACGCCGCGGCCGTAGTCCACGAGCCTCCGCACGCGGCCAGGGCGTCGGCGTGCGCCGGAACGGTCCCCGTCGTCGACGCGGCCGCGCTCTTCGGCGCGCCGGCCTGGGCGGCGCCGGCGAGTCCTTCGGACGGCGCGGATCCCTCGCTCGGCGCCGGCCGCGCGGCCGCGGGCGACTGGTCGCACTGCTTCTTCACCTCCGGATCGACGGGCGCGCCCAAGGGCTGCCTCGTGACGCGCGGCGCGCTGCGGCACTACGCCGACGCGCGGAACGCCTTCGACGGCGTCGGCGCCGGCGCGCGCGTCCTCGTCGCGTCCGCGCACGTCTTCGACAGGGCAGGAAAAGGGTGATTCAACGTCGCTTCAACGTGAGTGTTCCGCGCGCGCGCGTTTCGGAAACAGTACCCACGCTTCGAGAGCGCTCCGAGAGATGATCGCTCGTCCAAAAATCAGCCGAAACGAGCGGAAAACGACCGAGATAGGAGCCTTTGAAGTTGGGAATTTCGCACCCTTTTCCTGCCCAGGTCTTCGACCCGACGGCCGGCGACGTCGCGCAGTGCGCGTTCGCCCGGGGCGCGGCGCTCTGCGTCGCCCGGCGGTCGCTCGTGGTCTACGCCTTCGCGGACGTCGTGCGCTCGTCGAAATGCACGCACCTGACGACGACGCCGCGGCTCCTGGCGACGCTCCTCGACGAGCCCCGGGACCGTCGCGGCGCGTCGCTCCGCGTCGCGGCCGTCGGCGGCGAGGCGCCGTCGCCGCGCCTCGTGCGCGCCTTCGGCGGGCGGGGCGGCGGCTTCGCGCTCAGGGTCGTCTACGGCGTCACGGAGTGCTGCGTCTACCAGTGCGGCCGCGAGGTCGCGAGCCGCGACCCCCGCGCGGAGATCGGCGACGGACAAGAGAGCGAAATTCCAAACTTCAAAGGCTCATTTCTCGGCCGTTTTCCACTCGTTTCGGCTGACCTTTGGACGAGCGATCATCTCTCGGAACGGTCTCGAAGCGTGGATGCTTTTCCCGGAACGCGCGCGCGCGGAACACTCACGTTGAAGCGACGTTGAATCACCCTTGTGCTGCCCAGGCGGAGATCGGCGACGTCGGCGCGCCGCTCACGCGCCTGACGACGGTCGCGATAGCGGACGGCGAGGTCCTGTTGGGCGGGCCGCTGGTCGAGGGCGCGAGGTATTTGGGCGACGCCGCCGCGACGGCGCGCGCCTACGGCGAACGCGACGGCCGCCGCTTCTACCGCACGGGCGACGGCGGCGCGCTCGTCGCCGGGTCCCTCGCGCTCGGCGGCCGCCTCGACGACCAGATCAAGATTTTCGGCCGCCGCGTCGAGCTCGGCGACCTCGACGCGCAGGTCGCCGCGGCGCTGGGGCCGCTGGCGACGCACGTCCGCTGCGCCGCGCTCCCCGGCCGCGACGCCGGCGTCGCCGCCGTCTGCGAGAGCGGCGCCGCGGCGCGCGCGGACCCGGCCGTCGACGGCGTCCTTTCGGCGCTCGCCCTCGCCGTCTGCGCCCGGCGCCTGCCCCGCTACGCGGTGCCGCGCGCGGTCCTCTTCGGCGGCCGGCTCCCCCGGACGGCGACGGACAAGCTCGACCGGCGGCGCTGCGGCGCGCTCGCCGCGGCGGCCCTCGCGGACCGCCGCGCCCCGGCGGGCCGCGCGCCCCGGACGCGCGCGGAAAAGGCCGTCGTCGACGCCTTCGCCGAGGTCGGCCTCGGGGGCGGGAGGAGCCGCGCGCTCGGCGTCGACGACTCCTTCGCGGCCCTCGGCGGCGACAGCCTCGCGGCCGTCCGGGTCGCGCGGCGCCTCGAGGCGCGCCTCGCCTGGGGCAAGGACTTTTTGGGGAGGGAGGAGGCCTCGTCAAACGACGCGTTCGACCCGCGGAAGCTCGTCGCCGCGCCGTCCGTGCGAGCCTACGCGGCCTCGCTCGCCGCCGCCGTCGGCGACGGCGACGACGCCGCGGACGACGACGTGAG